TGTCCTGCTTCTCTTCTTCCCCCAGCTCAGAGGTTGGCAGGTAGGAATGACCAGGAATCATCTACCTGACCTTCACATGGTGAAAGGTGTAGAAAACCCAGGCTTCGATGAGAGCTCCCCTGATGTAGCAGCACTTGCCCTGCTATGCATGTATGCAAAGAACTTGTTCAAGGAGCTGAGAAGGTCATCCAGAGAAGTGATGGATGAGGGCCAACCGGGAAGCTCATTAGAATGGGAGCTGCTTCTGTGTCTGCCCCTAGGTCTTGCCTTCATTACTTAGAGAACTGCTTTCGTAAACCTCGCTGTTGGGGCCTGCGCTCCTCAGGACTGCCCACTCTCCTCTTCATCTTATGGTTGTAAACCAAAGTTAGAGGCAGAGGCCTGGCAAAGGCCCATTACTCACTTTTAATGAGACAGCCAGGGAAATAAATTGGCATATGTTAGTGAAATGGCTCATCAAGGTGAGTAATTATCTTCATGACTGGGGCAGTTTACCCTCAGATGAAAGAATTGGCATTTCGTCTCTCACTGGGTGCTGGCTCTCGAGATGACGGGGGAGGGGCAGGAGGCCAAGGAGAGCTTGACCACTGCTCACAGATCCCTCCACTTGTCTTGTCTTGCTATTTATTCACCATGGATTTGTCACTCCCCCAATTCCAAAAGCCTTACTTAGCTGGGCGCCAGTGGCTCATGTCTGATGTCTGTCATCCTAGCTACTTAGGAGGTTGAGATCTGAGTACTGAGGTTCCAAGCCAGCCCAGGCAGAAAAGTCCATGAGACTCTTATCTCCAACTAACCACCAAAACCTGGAAGTGAAGCTATGTCTGATCAGAGAAGAGCACTAGCTTCGGGTGGAAAAGGCCCTGGATTCAAGCTCCAGTCCTGGTACCAAAAAAGAAAACTCCTAAGCCTTTATGAGGACAGGCTACACAACTGATCACAGGAGAATAGAAATCTGGAGGAGAAAACACTAAGCAGATGTTCTATAGATATGTGTATGTTGCATGTACATGCGCACGTGTGTGTGTGTGTGTGTGTGTGTGTGTGTGTGTGTGTGTGTGTATGTGGGGGGGGGAGGGGGAGAGGGGGAGAGAGGCATGGGGACAGGCCAGATATCTTACAGGGCAAGCTATCAGTGTTTATTTCTGATTCTGGCAGCCTCTGCTAATTAAAATAATCCTCTTTTTGGTCCAGAATGGAACATTAACTCAAGTCTAGCATTTCCCCTTTCCTTTCTTGTACATTGAACTCCTACCCTGTACAATTAGCATCTAGCAATGCCCAGGTCTGTAGCTGTCCTTCCTACACCTTTTATAGTAAAACTAATCTATTGCTATTTTTTCTTTCTTTTTTTTTTGGTCTTATGGTGATTAGTTTGTCCTTCAAGAGACACCATTGGCTCAGGCCAGGGAAGAGGGGGTTACTTGGTTCCATTCTCTATGGAGTCTGCCATTGTTCTCAGGATGCAGAACATTATATAACAGAGCAAGTTTCTACCTGCCCTCAACACCAGTAAGACTTACAACACAGGGAACACTTACAAGAAAGTGACTGAAGGTATTTCCTTGTAGAGATTGTCTCTCACAGGTTTAGAGGGAATTTGTTGACCAATTTTGGCTCATGACATGCCTTCTACATTAATATCACCATTGAAGCCTCTTATTTTATCATTTGTCTTCACTATATAGTTTGAATTCAGGGCCTGGGCACTGGCCCTGAGCTTTATTGCTCAAGGATAGTGTTCTACCACTTGAATTACAGCACCACTTTTGGTTTTTCTGGTGGTTCACTGGAGATAAGAGTCTCATAGACTTTCTTGCCTGGGCTGGCTTTGAACTGTGATCCTCAGATGTCAGCTTCTAGAGTAATTAGGATTACAGGTATGAACTACTAGTGCCTACTCTGTGACTGTTTTTTGAGTTCCATCAATGTCTACAACTAATCAGTGTTCTTTCAGTCATCAGAGCTCATGAACATGGATTCTTGCAAATGCTGCATCTTTGTGAGGCCTTTACATGTTATTTTAAGCAATGTAGGGATTATATACAGGTATTAACACATTCATTCTAGTAACTAACAATATACTTGGCAAATAATACAAGTTGATTATAATCAAAGAATGGAAAATTACAGGTCTCAGTAGGTCAGGCCTCCAGCGGGCAGGCTTACTCTATAACAAGACTGATATTAATGGTGACAGAAAAAAATCGGAAATAATCCAAATAGCTTTATGGGACCACTTCAAGTCCTTTCGGTTTGACATGAGGTTCTAATTAGGATTAAAATTCTTAAAAGGGATGTTGGTAGGAGCCTTCAGGATTCCTGACAATATCCATGGCTTGGATTAAAAAAAAAATCCCCCTCTTTGTTTTTCCCTGAGCATCTCCTGGGAGCAGAAAATAGGTTGTTGGGCAGTGGTGAGTCAGGTCACAACTTGTCCTGGGGAGGAGGGACCCAGAGATGGCCAAGCCGACGGTATGACTCCTATCAGGATAATAACTGGGAAATTTTATCAAGGAAACCAAATCTCTTCAGTCTCCAGATATGTGGCCTGTGAAATCTATCATGTGTATTCAGTTTCTGGGGTTTCCTGGGAATATTTTAGAGCAGGCAAGGCTGCTAGTCATGTGAGGATGGTTTCCTCAAGTACTGCTCTGTGTCACAGTGCCCAGATCAAGAGTCTGAGTGGGGATGTCACTGCCAGGCCCATTCAGGGTCTATACTCGGCCTTTAGGAAAGTCAGGGGTAGGGGGGGTGGTGGTGGTAGGGCTGGCTTAATTCCCTGACCCTCACTGGCGTCCTTCAGGATACTCACCATTTCTGTCGATGGCAAAAGGCACATCCGTTGTGACGATTTCGTAGTTACAAATCTGGCTGTACTGTGGGGAGCAGTCCTCATCGATGGCCTCCACTTGCAAGATGCTGTCGTAGATCTTGCCTTCTGTCACCACAGCCTTGTAGGCTGGCTCTTTGAAAGCAGGAGCAAACTCGTTGACGTCCTTCACCTGGATATGGACCACAGCCCTGGAGCATGGATCAGAAAGACAAGAGAGAGTGTCATAGCTCCCAGCATCCCCTCCTGCTTCCTGGGGCACTGACTCAGCCCAAGGGCAAGTGCAGCAAGGGCAGCTCAAGCCGGGCTGGATGACTGCTGCCTGAGTGCTCTGTCCTCCCTCCACCGGACCCATCTCCCTGCCCCGTTGCCCATGTTCTGAGTGAATCTTCCCCAGAAAATCCACCATTCTTGTCCTTCCTGTTGCCTCTGCCTCTCAGCAATGTATTTCTTGTTCATCTGCTCCCTTTTCTCTTTTCTACTCATCTGTTTACGCATCCTTCCATTCAGGAAGGAAGGAACCTCACTGTGTTAAGACTCTGAGCCAAACTTGATCATGGACAGAACAGACACAGCTCAAGATGGGGAGTCTTGTGACAGGGAGAAGCATGAGGCACTGTGGAAACCCAGAGCAAAGTCTCGACTAGGTCTTCAGGGAAGAGTAGACTGAGAGAAAGCTTCCTGGAGGAAGTGACCCCTTGAACTAGGTCCTGCAGGTGGATCTAGGAGTAACCTCCAGGCAGGAAATATAGGTAGAATATTCCTAGAGTAGAAAACGGTTTGTGCAAATGGCCCTAGGGGGCTTGGAGAGCAGATGTGACGGATCTGCAGGGTGAACGGAAGCGGGGCAGTGTCTAGGTTGCTCTGGCTGGGCACTCACTCACTTGTGTGACTTCTTCCAGGCTGTCTCCCGGGGCCCGGCACCACAGTCATAGGCCTGGATGATGAATGTATACTCCTTCTGCAACTCACAGTCGATGGGACTCTTGGCGCGGAGCCGGCCCTCCCCGGATGTCTTGTTGAGCACCACAGCCTCAAAGGGCAGCTCCTGGCCGTGTATCTTGAACGCACAGATTTCCCCTGTAAAAAGACATTGGACAGTGAGGAGGGATGCTGGGAATTGCCATGCTGGGCCAGATTCACAAGCCCAGAATCTCCAAGCAGTTCACTCTACACATTTCGAATTCTCAAACCGAACTCGTTGCTCTCCAGAGATCCTGACCAACGTGTTCACTTTATGGAGATAAAATGGAAATGTCTCATGTGTGGCAGTGTCACTCATCAGGTATTCCTAGTGGGGGCAAAACACGGTGAGTCCCTGTGCTGGAAACCGGCTGAGCTCGCCAGTTCCCCCGGGTTCCCAGCAGGTTACACATTCCACTTGCCCTTTGCTCAGTCTGGGTTTAAGGGATTTGCCTAGGGTCAAAAGACAAAGGAGTGCAGAGGGGAGGGAATCAAAGCTTTTCAGTCTTCTGCCCTGTGGCTGCATTCTTAGTACTGGAAAGCTGTGTTGCTTGGAGGAGCAGATGATGAATTTGGAGCTGCTGATGGATACAATAGCCAGGTGTGGTGGTACACGTCTGTAATCCTCATTACTCAAGAGGTTGAGGTAGAAGACCTTGGTCTGAGGTCAGCTATGTTTTCTGGGTCTGGGGGCTGGTTAGTGTGAAATCCTATTTAAAGAAAAAAAGGCAGAAAGGAAGGAAGAAAAGAAGAAAGGGGGAGGGGAAAGGAAGAACGAAAAGAAGGGAGGAAAGAAATATAGAATGCTGGACCTCACAGATCTTCTGAACCAGACCTGTGTTTTTAGTGGGATCCTCGAATCTCTACTCCTGTTTTTCTGGTTGCACCTCCCATATTCCTCCAGTAACCCTCTTCACACACCCTCTCCTGGAGGAGACAGGGAATGGCTCCAAGTGGCAATTTTCTCTCTTGTACCAATGGGGGTGAGCGTCTGTGAGTTCAAGATTCCCTGTGGAACCTGAGAAACTATTCTTCTTAGAGAGCTGACTGTGGTGTGGGTTGATATTTATTACGACCATTTCTGTGCATTCAAGTTATAAGGCTGTATGAGTGTCTCTCTTCCCTCCCCCATTATCCATTGGTAAATAGATATTTACTTCTTAACGCCAGAATGTAAACAAGTTCTGTATATTAAGTGCAATGTGCCAATAATTTGGGGCACACACACCCTCTTCCTATCTTGAGAGAGCTGGTAGGCTGTGAGCACTGTACAATGTGGACAGTGTGAGCTTGGGGTAGAGAGTTCTGGATCCAAATTTCAGGTTTGCTTAACCAGTAACTGATCGGTTGAAGCCACACTGTACAGCTTTTCTGGGTCTCAACTGTGCCACCTGTGAGACGGTCTAGCTTGTGGTGTGGGGAGGAGGTACACTGACTTCCAGATCCTCATCCTTGCCTGACACAGATGACCTTGTTATGACCCAGGCACACTGCCTGGACCAGGAAGAGGCAAGTATGGTGCCAAGGGGGACACCGAGGAAGCCTCGCTTAGCCTTACCTCGGCCCAGGCTCTGCCCAGAGCCGACCTTGAGGAGACCACATAACATGACTAGCTACTTGCCTGCTTGGGGTAGTTTGGTAACTCTAATCAGAGAATCTCATTTGACTTTTATAATAAACTTGCAAGGCATCTTCTAAAACTTCTATAAGTATGAGGAGGAGGAAAAGGGAAAGGAGAAAGAGGAGGAGGAGTAGAGGAGGAAGAGAAGGAGGAGGAGGATCAGGAAGGCTAATGACTTGTCCAAGGTCACAGAATTAAAGTTAAGTCTTGAACTCAGGTAGGACCGACTTCTAAATCCAGTACCTTCCACTATGTCATGCCATCTCCAAACAGCCCCAAAACTTACAGAGGGGACCCCCCCTCGCCAGGGACATGTCCAAGAACGAATCATATGGCAATTCAAGTCTCGCTCAGGAGAGACGTCCCTTGTTTCACATACGGATACGGAAAGCAGGCCCTGGTCTCTTCCAAACAGTGTTTTCCACCACGTTCAATCAATAGCAATGCTACCTCCAGGCTTTTGCTTTCCTTATTATTTCTTCGATCTTCAATTTCATTATGAACATTCCATTTTCTCTACCTGCCCTCCTGGCCACTGCTCAAATATAGTTATAGAGTAAGGGACCAGACAGACAGGCGGTGGGCCAGGATGTAGGAGCGTTCTCATTAGCTGTGGTTGTTCAGGGATGCTGGGCCTTTCAGCTCTTGCCCTTTCTGACAGGCTGAGCTCTGCAGCCTTCTGGGTGGGGCAGATTCATCTCATCCTTGAGTTTAATTTCTGCTCTGAATTAACTGTGGTTGAATGGATGAACCTCTAAAGGGCCAGCCTTGTGATTCCATCTTAAGATCAATGCCAGTGTGAGAATGTTACCCGTGTACCCACACTAATTCTGGGGCATTCTCTGCAGGGCCCAATTCTCACTGTGTGATTATAAGGCTAATCAGACTGTTTCTCTTTGAAGAGTCAAGTTAAACCTAAAATAGATGAGGGTAATTTTCTGTTGGGAACATCTGATCACAACCAAAGTAGTTCTCAAGACTCAGCAATCCTTCACAAGAGAAAGGAGAGAAGGAAGCCCAAGGAGAAAAAGGAGAGGAGACCCAATGGGGAGGCCAAAATAAAATAAACTTCGTGCTTGTATATTTCCACCCAACTTAAGCTCTATTCAGTTCAGTTGAACTAACTTCTTTGCTGTGTGGTGGTAGCAGTGGGAATTGAACCTGGAGACTCGCACAAGCCAGGCAAGCACTCTCCCACTGAGGAACTCTGCCAGGAAACCAAATCTCTTCAGTATCCAGATGTGTGGCCTATGAAATCTATTGTATATATTCAGTTTCTGAGGTTTCCTGGGGGGTATTTTAGCGCAGGCAGGGTTTCCTCAAGTGCTGTTCTGGGTCACAGAGCCTAGATCAAGAGTCTGAGGGGAGTCGTCACTGCTGGGTACACGTAAGTTTGAATTTGGCTTTCAGAGTAGGGGTGGTTGACTTGATTCCCTGACTCCACTAGAAAGAGGAAGGGAGAAAGGAAGAAAGGAAGGAAAGAAGAAAGGAGGCAAGAAGGAAAAGAGAGGGAGGGAGAAAGAGAGGAAGAGAAGGAGGCAGGAAGGGAGAGAGGGAGGGAGGGAAGAGGGTAGGAGGGAGTGAGAGGAGAGAGGAAGGGAGGGAAAGAGACAGGGAGAGAGGAAAGGAGGGGAGGGAAGGGAAGAAGGGAGGGAAGGAAGGAAGGAGCTGCATCCTAAACAACTTCTGTCTCAGGGACGGGATGTGTCTGTGAAGGCATTTCAGGGCTTCTACTCCAAGACACTGCATGGGGTACAGTGCCCACTGGTCAGTTAAACACAGACTCAAACTGACTTGCTACAACGCCATCTTTACAACCCCTCAAATCTCTCCAGATCTTCATTTCCTCACTGGTACAATGACAACAAAATCATTTTGCCTCTGGTAATGATGGATAAACGTCTAACACACAGACCCTCTTCCCCACGGCACCAGACTCCTGAGAACCCAGCCACTCATCACCCCAAAATGCTCAAATATTCACCAGGAGGCAGATTTAGCTTAGCACCAGTGCCTCACACCTATTAATCCTCGCTACTCAGGAGACTGAGGTCTTCCAGTTGCAGTTTGAAACCAACCGCAGCAGGCAAATCCATGACTCTTATCTCCAATTAAATGTCAAAAAGAGGAAGTGGAGGCATGATTCAAGCGGCAGGGTACCATCGTTGGGCAGAAAAAGTGAGAGCACACGGTCTGGAGTTCAAGCTCCATTACCATTACACACACAAAGACAGATTTTGGAGAGAAGTAGCAGCTTACTGGATATTAGAAATAGGTGAGTTTTCTGATTTGATTCTTTGCTGTAGCCATGGCTATGTGGAGACTGCATTCGGTGTGGATGCTTACAACTTTGGGAGGAAGACAAGGGGAAGAAAGGGGGAAAAAAAAAGGAGTCAAGAGAAGAGGAAGCCTGATCTGCATGAAAACTCCACCCAAGCCTTGGCCAGCCTCGGACTCTTTACTTGGGAGACAGACTCAAAGAGCCCTGAGAACCAGGGGTCTGAACTGACACCTCAGCAGGCAAGAAACAGCTGACGGTTTGAGTTTAGCTGAGCTAGTGGACTGTTGAAAGAAACTATCAATAATTTTTGAAGGAATATGACAACCCAGTCTTCTAAAAAAATTACATTTGAAAATATCGAGGATACGGTTCAAACTTACTTGACATCTAAAAAGCCCAGAAAAAATACGATCTTTTTCAAGGAGAAAGACTGAACAGAGGTCATGCTTGAGATAGCATGGGTATCTGAATTCTCAAGTGAGTATACTACCTAATGTCTTCTTAGCAGGCTCAAAATATAAGAAGCAAAATGGATATAATTAAAGGGAGAGATATTCACAATTATAATAGGATTTCTGCACTTCATTCTGTAATTAATAGAATAAAACAAAAAAAAATCAATAACCTAAGTAACGTTCCCAGTCATGTCTTACCCAATGTGGATAGATCACTACATTCAGCACAGAATACATTGTCCTTTCAAACTCACTTGTTGAGTTCAGAGAGACCCTACACAGAGCCATCAAACAAGTCCCAATGAGCTTGCAGGTCTCAAAATATACAGAATATATCCTCTGCCCACAAAAGAAAACACTTAGAATCTACATTTAACAACGAGAAATCTAGAGAAACTCCAGGTATTGAGAAACTAAACCAGATCTATCGCAGTACAAAGATAAAAGAAAAAAAATAAAAAGGAAATTAGAAAGTAATTGAAAATGAAGACAACATAAGCAGCATGTTTCAAAACTTGTGGCCTGTGGATAAATCTGTGCTTTGCGAAAAATATACAGCTTTTAAAAACTGTGATGAAATGAACGATCTAAGATCAAGCCAGAAAATGAACATGTCAAGGTAAGTAGACAATATAATTATTGTATTTAGGTCATATATGAAAGAATTAACAGCACGTATGTATAAATATACACATATAATGAGTCTCTCTGTCCCTCTGTCTCTCCATCTCTCTGTCTGTTTCTCTTTCTCTCACTTGTT